CATGTACCTCGTATTAAGTGTTAGAAGCAGCCTGGAGATGATCTAAAGCAGCAGTGTTCTGCACCCAGGACAGGGAAGTCTCATGGAGGACAGTTCTTCCATGCACAGGAGGTGGGGAATGAATTCAGGATGCTCTGAGAGAGTGCACGAACTGGATCCCTGACATGCACAGTTCACGGTAGGGTTGGCGCTCCTGTGAGTATCTAAGGCCATTGCTGATCCGCCAGGAGGTGAAGCTCAGGCTGTAACGTGAAAGATGGAGAGAGGCTGTCCACTCTCCACTCCTGTTCTGCGGGCTGGGTCCTAACAGGCCAGGACTGGTACTCCTCCTGGGACTGAGGATCCGGGTACAGGATACTGGTAGTTTGCAAAGTCCCAGCACTAACATAACAATAGAGAACGTACTAAGGTGACTTGAAGCTGAGCTTAAGGGGACCACCAATGTGAGGCACTGCACGTAAGCTTAGTCAGCGTGCATCACCCTACAACTACACCAGGGGAAGGAGGAAGGGCAAATCAAGACGCAGGAGGGACACGAGACCACGGCCTCTTCACTGTTCTCAATAGGAAGCCAAGAACCTTCCAACAGTGCACGGTCAGAAGCGCCAGCACAGTCCTAATACTTGGGAATAGCACAGTGACACAGCAAAGGGACTAGAGGAGAGAAGGCAGGTGAAGGAGTTTGCTTGGCCTCATAGAGAGGCCTTAAAGCTGTATTGCTTTTTAAATTATGACCATATATTTGGCCTACATTTTTAACAAGTTAAACCATACCAGAGAGAAAAAGACAGAAGCTAAGGTTGTATTGGCAGCTTGGAAAGATGAATTCAATATTATAAGGGTGTTTCTTACTTGGAAAGTGAAAAAGAGAACTATTATTTTGGTAATAAAAATTCCTCAAAGCAAAAACAAAGTGACATATGCACACGGTTGCACCCTGTTTCTGGGTATCCTTGGAATCTCCAATGTGACGCTGTCCTTGGCACACCGAGGAGATGACGGATGCCTAGGTGACTGCAAGGAGATGGCTGGGTACAGGGACGAATCTCTCCAGCCCCTCCTTCTCTTCCCAGGTAAGAGAGCAGAGCTGAAGGCTGTGTAGTTTGCCAATAACAAGCAATTTAGCCAATCACGCTTCCGTCAGGAAACTTTCCACAGAAGTCGGGAAGGGCTAAGTTCAGGTGAGCCTCCGGGTTGAGGGGTTGGCTTGAGGGGGCTCCTGGGCATGGAGCTTCCTCCTGCTTCCTCACCACGAGGGTACCTTTGCTGGGCTGTTCTCTATCCTTCGCGCAGCCTTTATGATGAGTAAACGTGAGGCAAGTGGTTCCCTGAGTCTCATGGGCCTCTCTGACAAAGTCTCCAGACCTTAAGTGGAGGTCACAGGAGCCCCGACTCACAGCCAGTGGGTCAGAAGGACAGGTAACAACCTACTCCGTGTGCCTGGTATCAGAAAGGCAGGTGGTTTTGTGGGACTGAACCCTCAAGCTCTGGGATCTGATTCTACCCCAAGTACAGAGGGTCGGGGTTGAACTGAATTACAAGGACCCAGCCAGTACCCACTGGTTGGTGTATAGGAGGGGAAATCCTGCACATTTGGTGCCAGAAAAATTGAAGTATTGTAATGAAAGACTTTGAGTAGACTGGAGGAAGAACTCTTGGTACTCACGGTGTTTCGTTTTGTTTTTCCGTCTGTCCAGGAGATGGAAAATCCTACTTGCTCTTGAGTATAGACAGACACGATCCTCAATTCTGGGTTCCATGACGGCAGATTCAGTATCTGGTTTATTACTCAATTAAGTCCATATTTTATGAACTACTAAATGAAGAATGATTGATCAGAAGAACTCGCAACAGAAAAAGCAGCCGGGTCTGGGTGTGGAACCACACACCTGTGATCCCAGCACTCAGGTAGGCTGAGGCAGGCGGACCAAAATTTCAAGCCCAGTCTGGAAGCTTAGCAACTTAGTGAAATCTTGTGTCAAAATAAAAAATTAAAAAGAGCTGGAGACATAACTTAGTGCAAAGGCCCTGGGTTCCAAGTCCCATACCACGAAACCACAGAAAGAGCTCCAAGCTCCGTGTCTCCATTACAAAGAATCTTGAAAACTCAGAAAGTAAAACCATGTCCATTCTGCACTTGAATTGCTCAAGTGGCCAGTTTCAAGTGGGTGACCGGTACAGAGAACCTTTTCCCATCCTGGTTTCCGTCCAGGAGGTTTCTATTTGTAATCCCAAGGAGAAGTTATTGGAAGTCTAGCAAGTTAACTCTAAACTTCCAGTGCAGCCCACGGTGAGAATAAAGACATGGAGACATGTGCACAGTCCTGGGGAGCCGGGGTCCTAAGCCCAGCTAAAGTGGTGTTCACTAGGGCAAAGGCCACAACTTAAAGCCCGACCCAGGTTTTACTAATTCTCCATGAGGGGAGAGGCTCGGGGGTGAGTGACAGTGAGAGTGGCTGGAAATTCCTGAGCTGGGCTGGGTAGGAGGCCTGGGGTCCCCTCTGCAATAAGCAGAGGGTGAGAAATGCAGAGAGAGCGATCTGCACAGCAACTGAGGTGGGCTCTATCAGTCTGGGGTCGGTGCTTCAGCTCTGATGCAGGGTCCTGTCCGCCCTGGGAGGTCACAGCCTCTTTCTCCAGGCTCTGTCCCAGCCAACAGGTGCAACATGGCTCTCCATCCCTCCCAGCTCAGCCACGGATTTGAGGAGTCGCTGGTTGGGGTGACACTGACCTGTCCCTTGCTTCAGAGATGACACATCAGCTCCGCAGCCAGCCCGGTTTACACTGAATTAAGCCAGTGAAGGGACCAAGAAACAGCCCGGCCAGCTCTGTACATAACAATACACGGACACAGGGCCAGGTTTATCCAGAATGGAGATGGTTGCTCTTCATTCAAGGAGACTCATCTCTGTGGCTCCCTTTGGACCGCATGCTGACAATGGTACCCCAGAGTCAGCAGGTTTCGGTCACAGGGAATGAACAGTGTGGCCCCTAAGTAGCAGGGCCTTGAGGGTGGGGAGTCTGTGTCCTTCGGAGTCTCCAAGGCTGACTGAGCACTTGTGAGGCGAAGGAAACAGAAAGGACAGCACGGAAGAGGACCCAGGCCGCCCACGAGCCAGAGACAGTGAATGTCCTTGGGGAGGGAGTAGACGTGTGGGAGGGCACAAGGCCGCCAGCCTGCAGCGGGGACAGACACCGAGGCAGCCACTGGGTGAGTTCTGCATATTAGCTGGCACTTACCTGGCAGTTCCTTCTGCCCTACCTCCTGGGGACTAGGGCTGGATTTTAAGGAAGCCCATCTGGTCTCAGAGTGGAGGGCCACCGAGAACAAGAAGGGGGTGGGCATGAGTCACGGGGACCGTGCTGCAGGAGATGTGGGTGCAGCCTACATAGCTCGCAGTGTGGCTGCGTGGTGCCCAGGCTTAGGCCGAGCTGCGTGGTCTCCTGAATATCACCGGAGAGGTGGGGCGCTGCACCCCGAGTGCACTGCCGTGGATGCTGGAGCACAGGGGCGGGGTCATGAGAGGAGGCAGCTGCCCCACCCATGAAGCGGCCTCGTGCCAGCAGGTGTGATCACCTGGCAGAACAGGACACATCGGGCAGGAACGCGGGCAGCTCCTGACAGGTGTGCATGACGCGTGTCAGGGGGAAGCGGCCAATGCCCGAATACGGGCACTGAGCGCAGCCCGGCAGCCTGAAGGCAGAAGACACCTGACCAGGCCCTGACATCCACCTCCCAAGTCCTGTCCACGCCAGTCCCGCTGACTTCATGTCCCCTTGGAGCGCTGTCAGCCCTGCCTCTCCCCAGCCAGCTTCGGGCCAGCACCCTGGCACCACCCAGGGCGCACCACACGTTCAGTGCTGGCTGCTTCTTCCCAGAACCCCATCCCCTCAGCCTGGACGGCCGCTCTCTAAGTTTAGGAACCCACCCGTCTGCCAGCGCCTTCTTCCAGTTTCAGTCCCGGTCTCATGGATCCACCAGGAAGAATCTCAGTGCCACTGGGTTCTTACTGTCCTTCTCCACGCTCGGTCACCAAGACTTTCATGAGTGCATCTCTGACACCCTCAACTCCTGCTCTCCTCCTCTGATCACTTCTTCTGGAGACGCCTTAGGGCCAGTCCAGCCTGCAGCCCTGTCCATGCTTAGGCAGCCCACGGCCTCTGGGATGGGGTGGATCGTGGGTCCTAGGCAATAAAGCCCTTAGCTATCATCGAGACCTTATGTGGAAATGGGGTCTCCGCAGATGGCCGCGTTGAGACGCAGTCAGGAGGGTGGACCCTAACCCAGCATGGCTGCTTCCCTATCCGTGGGTGCAGACAGCCATGCACGTCTCTGCCGCGTGTGCCTGCAGGAGGAGATGGACACCAGCTAAGGAAAGCCACGGATTCCCACCAAACCAGCAGAAGTCGCTGCACAGGTCTGGGAGTCCTCGGAGGGAGCCAGCCCTGGCGCTCCGTTAGGAGACCCCATCCAACCGCTGGCTCCTAAGCCTAAAGCGAACATCTGGCCACACTAACCTCTGCCTAAAATCCCTCCACAGTGACACTGTTTACTGAGCACCAGCTCTGCTTCTAATCGTCTCTGTACCCTTCGAAGGAGGTGTCACTGCTCCTTAGTTAGCAGCTGGGAAAAACCTTCTAATAGGCTAAGTCCATGGCCCAGCACACCTAGGTGGTCAGCAGAAATACTAACTTCTACTCTTGGTCCCTCTGTGTCTCCAGGTTGGCCAGCTGGCAGTGCCTGGCAGGCTCTCTGCACAGCTGGAGATTGGCTGTCTTTGGCTCTGCAGGCCTGTGGTCCCTGGGCAGAGGACTAAGCCCTGCCATGGTCATGCAAAAACAGCCACAGGCGAAGGCAAATGGGGTGTGGACCAGTTCCACCAGATCTTCACCCAGAAAAACAGACCGCAGGTCAGAAGTTTGCCATCCCTGCCCCACTACATTACCCGTAGGGTCCGAGCTGTGCTTCAGGCTGTGGTAATTAACTGACACACAGTGAGTTCGAGTATGTTAGGACCTGTTCATGTGCTCATTAATTGACCTGTCACTACTGCTGCCACAGATTTCAGGGGTCATCAGCTTGCCAAGGTCACAATAGTGGCAAAACCAGGATTCAAAGCTGTGTGGTCAAGAAGCCCAAAGCCATCATCTGACCCACTGACCACAGTATCCCACCATGTTCCTTCCAGCCCCAGTTCATTTCCTCCCCGACATCCCGAACATCTTCAGCAGCCTGCCTGCTCTGGGATCCGCAATGCCCAAGCCAAAGCCCTGGGTTCCAGTGTCCTCTCTGTCATGGGGATGAGAAGTGGAGATCAGAGGGAAGAACTGTCCAACTCAGGAGCTTGGGGTGGGGAGGGGTTAGGAGGGGCGGCACTCGTGTTCCACCCCCATTTCCCGGGGAGATTAAACCCAGGCACTGAGGGGAAGGCACCAGTGGCTCGGCAGAGCGGCCGGACTTGTTTACAGATGCATTCAGTACGCGGCCGGACTTGTTTACAGATGCATTCAGTACCCAGCACACCCAGCTGGCACCGCAGCTGCGTGCAGCAACCATTCTCCCCTTTCCCCTCACGAACAGAACCAAATTTGAGCTGGAATCGTCAGCTGGTGGTGGCCGTGTGATGCCATCCTGACGAGACCTTCAGCAGACGTGTGCTGGGGTAGCAGGGAAAGGCCTGTTGTTCTAACATAAGGGAGTGTGGCTCTTCCTTGGTCGCTCCTCCTCCTCCTCCTCCTCCTCCACCTCCTCCTCTCCCTCCCCCTCCCCCTCCCCCTCCTCCTCCTCCTCTTCCTCTTCCTCTTCCACCTCTACCTCCTCTTTCCCCTCTTCTTTTTCCTCTTCTTCTTCCCTCTCCTTCTTTCTTTCTGGAATGTGGCTGAAGAATTGGAAGTGGAGCAGCCATCTGGTAACAACAAGGATGAAACTTCTTCACCGAAACTGAGGCAGGAAAATAGAAGGCGCCTGGCCAGAGGGAGCTGGGGAGGCGCCACGGCCGCCTTGCGCCCCTGCCCCGAACTGCTGCGTATGGGGGAACCCCCTCCTCGGGCTGAGCCAGTGTAGCTTGGGTTTCTGATGCACTCGGACCGAAGCAGGCCTAACTCAAGGCTTGGTCAGCACCAGGGCCCACCCTCCGCAGAAGACTCGGCTCCTGGAATGTGAGGGACACTCAGGAAGGTTGTGCTGACCACAGAAGGAGCGGCTGCTGTGGGGGAGGACAGTCGCCGTGGCTACCCCTCCCTCGCCCAGCACTTCCTCTGCGCCCTCATCATGAGAGGTCGGCATTGTCATTTCCAAGTCTCGAACAAAGGTCGAGAGAGTGGCAGCTGTCGCAGTGGGGCCAGGACTCGAAGCCAGGCCTGGGCGACGCGGGAGTCCATGTCCCTGCTTAGACGGAGCTGCTGCCGGAATCAACCACTCACGGGCCTCTTGGACCTGGGCTAAAGGAAGAGGGGAGAAACTGAGGCTGGGCACGAGCCCCCAACTCAGGCCCAGTGAGCTGGACAGTGTTTCCGCACTGTCCTGGTTTATTACTTGTACAGAGGACAGCAGCAGGCTGTGGTCAGGGTGCCGTGCTTATACTAAGCGGTTAGCAGATCCAGCACAGCTGGAAAATAGCACCCAGCAGCAGCCTCACCATCGCCACCCCCAGAACCCCTGCAAGAATCTAGGACAGCAGCGGCTGTCCCTGAATAGAAAGCACAGATGAGGCACCGGGGCGAGCTGCTGCTGGAGCCTGGGGTGCGGGGAGCCTCACTTTGGAGACCCCGCTTGCCTTCCGCAGCTGCAGCCCTTGGCACCCCTTTGCCACCCAGATGCCCGTGGGTCTCAGAGGTGCCGTGCCGACTTCTCATCTGAACTTGGAGTTCTGCTCATCACCAAATTTATTGTCACACATGGCTGCGGGGCACGAAGACGCGCCCCTTAATCCCCCACAGGTGTCAGACAAAGCCCCATGGGCGGAGAACACTGTGCTCAGGCTGCCTGGCTCCCCACCCATCCCGCCTCACTGGGGAGCAGCCTGGGAGTCTGAGGCGAGGTGCGGGGGTGGATTTGAATCTGAGATGCTAATCGGCCCAACTGAAGGTTTCGCCTCTGTCTCGGCCAGCACACACATGCACACACACACAGGCACACACACATGCATGCATGCACATACACGGGATCAAGGGTACAGTCAGTCACAGCTCTGAGCAGGTGGGGAGGGTCCTGGGGTGCTGAAGACTGGCAGGGCTGGACACCTCCCCAGCAGGGCAGGCCTGGCCTGGCAGGCTCACGAGACGTTGGGGACCATCAGAGGTTTACCGTGGGAGGAGAGAGGCTCAGGAAATTATAGAAAGCCAGGTCTCAGCAACCAGAGCCCTGGGTGAACCCCGGGTCTTAGGGTTATAAATTGTGTGACTCAAAGTACGAGTGTCACCATCTTAGGTCCTACTTCCTCATCTGCAAAGTGGGAAAGGCAGTCGTGCCCGCAGGCGGAGGGAGCCTTAGAGGAGCTAATTTGAGTGGAGTGCTTAATACAGATTAGCTGTGATGATTACATCAGCTTCACCAAAGCCTGAGCCCCGTCGGGTGCTATTCTGTGCCAGGCTACGCCGGCTCGCGGCTGCGTTTCATTCTTCCTTGCTCTTCCTTTGCCCCTGTGGCGCTAAGATGTGCAGGTGTGGTGTTACCCTGTGACACAAACACTGCCGCTTCCTGAAGTACAATCAGTACTTACCAGCGCTGTCTCCGCTCAGCACTGCCAGGAGATGAACAAATCAAAGCACGCGCTGGTCTCTGCTGTCACAAGTTTTCCACTCCGAACAGAGAAACGGCATAAATGGAAATAAGTTATACAGAGGTACAAGCAGCCTAAGTTAGCTCTAGGAGAAATGCCGGGGTGCGTGGCAGTGACCATAATCCTGCAAAAACTCCAAGAAGGGAGAAAGCCAGGAGGAGCAGCGATCACTGCCTTGGGCCTGGCCTGTCCCTCCCCAGGGCCTGGGGCGAGGGCCCTTGATGAGGAAGAGCAACACTACGAGCCCACTATGGACCGGTCACAGCACCAAGCTCAGTGCACGGTCAGAACGCAGCACTCGGCTGGCTCTATCCACTGCCTGACGTATTATGTGATCAGGGGCAGAGAGGGAAAGTAACTTAGCCTGGGCCACACAGCCGGGGAGCGGAAGGCCTAGGCTGTGAGTTTAGTTCTATTCCCAAGGCTTCTGTAAACCACCATGCTGTACTTCCTGTTCGAAAGAAGGAGCAGAGGGTGCTGGCCCGGGGTAAATGACCGCACGCGCTGGAGCAGACGCCCCCGAGCCCCACAGCAGGACGCAGTGGAGGTCACCACCGTCACACACGTGCGAGATCCACAGACACCCTTCTGCGTGGCGAAACCCAGGCCCTTCCTAGCGCGGACCCACAGCTCGCCAGGGCCCAGAGCTCTGTTCTTCACCTTCCCTGGAGGGTCAGTGGGTTTCTTAAGGCCTCGCCTGGAAGCGGAGCCCCTTGTCCCCACTCCATTCATTACTCGTAGTCGCACAGCCATTCCCAAGGGCACAGAGGCTGGAAGGTGGGGTCCAGCTGCGCTCCACAAGGATGTGGATGCTGATGACCAGTGACTCTCACAGCCTCTGCTAAATGAAACAAGGCTCTGACCTTTCGTCCAGACCCTTAGCTCCAAGGCTGACCCCAGGTGGACAGCTGTGGATCCGTGCCCAGAGAAAGACAGCAGCTTCAGTGCTGAGTTCACAAGGGCCTGTGGGTCTCCACAGAGTCACCTGTGCAGAGGGACACAGCATCTGAAGCAGAGAACCCTGGGCCGTGACTCAGTACACAAGAGCACCACACCCGTATGCTTTCCCCTCTGCCCCACAAGAAACCAACCTGACCGCATGCAGCAGGTGTTTGCCAGAAAGCCAAGAGCAGGGCCCCGGGGTGGAGGCTGATGAGCACGGCCCAGCGGGTTTGACTCTGGGAAGGTTGGCTCAGACAGAAAGAGGGTGACGAGGAGAAAGAACAGAACCCCCAAATAGTGCTGCGCTCACCCAGGATGGCAGCCTGCAGCGTAGCAGCCTGGAGAAGCAGGCAGGAAGGGAGGCTGAGGGGACTGAGCTCCTTGAACTCAGAAGACCCCGGATAACCCTGCCTTCCACGTCCAGGGGAGATGCTTTGCCACCTGCTACCTGCTACCTGCCCGAGTCAGGTCCCTGTGTCACCCCAATTCTCCACTCGGCCTCCTGGAGCTTGGTATCATCGCTCCGATGCCCTCCAACCCTCACCGTGCCTGGGTGCAGTCCCCACCTGCTCCCCAAGGTGAACAGCTCTCCAGCCTGACCCCTGCCCCCTTCCTGCGTCCCCTGAGTCCTCCGGCAGACGCCTTTGAACATTACGGAGAACGCAGGGCATTTGCACTGCCAGGATTCTTCCTCTCCCTCTTCCTTAGCGCTTGAATCCCAGTTTGTTTCAGAAAGTGTTGTGCACCGTGAGCGCATCTCATCTCCCAGGCTTCCCTGGAACAGGAGGCAGCCAGAGGCAGGTGTTCCCTTGAGCAGGGGTGGCCAGCTGTGTTCCTCAGCTGTGACCTCTCCCACCACTTCAGAAGGGACTCGGGCTTAGGAAGTTGCTGCTTGTGGGTTTGTGGCTGTCTCGTTTGCTGATTGCCTGTGTTCATTTCCTCAACTGACAATTTTTGATCACTGCAAACACACTGTTCCAACCTCTGCTTCCATCACCCCTCACCTCCTCTCTGCCTCCTTCTTGTAAGGACCTGGAGTGTGCAGCCAGCCACACGAGGGAGGATACATCAGAGCCCTCAAGATAATCTCCCCACCTCGAGATCCTTAACTTAATCCCATCTGCAAAGTCCCTTTTACCACACAAGATAACGTGATCTCCAACTACTGGGCTTAAGACTCGGACATTTTTGAGGATCATGATTCAGCCTAAGCTGTAGTAAACCGCTTTGCAGCTGATGCTGCCACCTGCTAGGTCCTAGGCATGGGGCTTGGCCCTGGAGGCCCTACGTATCCCTCGCAAGAGCCTGTCCTGCTGTGTGTGTGACTATTTATTTGCTTCCTAGCTTGTCCTGGGAAAGTGTGGAGGCGGGAAGGCAGGAAATGTGTAGCATTCTCTTTGCTGCCAGCCCAGGACCAGCCCAGGGACTCACGTGGTGTAGTGGCCAAATACGTTCACTAAGTGAAGCAAAAACTCAGCTCACCTCGGCTACTGAGTCCTGCATGCAGAAGCCCGAGTTCATTCCATACATCATCAAAAGGACAGCGGAGATGGTTGATGAACAAACCCTCTGCCCCAAGGGTCCCCAAGACATCCCACGGGACAGACACTGCATGAAAACGAAAGGGGAGGGAGGGTGCCATGAAACGAGGAGGATGACCGCACCCACATGGGCCAGCTTCTGAAAACCACCCTCTGGGGAGTTCTGTACCAGAGAAATCTGTGTAACTCAGCAATGCCTTACCAAGATGCACGCACCCTTCCATGGACCCAGAGGTCCCTGAATGTCCTTTAGGAAGCAGAGCCTGACCCTTCCTTGGGCTGGCCCTTGAACAAGGACAGCCCAGGGCCAGCAGTGGACTCTGCAGTTGGTTGAGGTAAGACCAGGCTATTATTGGAGCAGCTACCATGTCAGGAGGCCCTTGGGCTAGAGCTGGACTTCCAAGGCCAGATGACATTGGTCTTGGCAGAGGGGGAACATTCTCCACTCACGCCAAAGGCTGTCTGATTTGTGCCAAACAGCAGAGCACAATTTATGCACTCAGAGGACAAGCAGTAACCAGGCCCACCAGAGGCATTTCTCTGGAATGTCCTTGGAGAGCCAGCCATGCCCTGGTTCCTGCCAGCCCCCCATTTCCTGTTACGTCCAGCCATACGGTAGCCAGAGAGTGAACATTTAATCTCCTCCACAAGGTCCACTGCTGTGTCACAGGAGGCCACCTGATGCTCTGGCCCCTCTGCATTTGGCTCCGTCCTCCCTAAGACAGTGTCTGTCCCTGCATCCACCTAGAATCCAGGGCTGACCAGGTTCCTGGAAGGCCCCTCCTCAGCCCTGAACCTCTCCTGGTCTCCTGCCACAGTGCTTTGTATCTACTATGTGACATTTGTCTATGCAATGACAAAGCTCAGTGTGAGTTGAAGATCCTCCTCTGTGGTTTCCAAGGTGAGATCTGTGGGGACGTGGGGTTTGCTAGGGTGGCCGGGGGATGCTGACACAGACTTGGGGCAGATTTTGCCTTCTATGCACCGAGTTCCGCAAATGCACGGTCACCTCAGTGAAAGAATCCACTTGTATCCTGTATAAATGTTTCTTTTACAGATTTGAACCACATCTGTTTTGTCATGGTCTTTAGATAAAAACAGGGGAAACTGAGGACCAGAGAAGGAAAATAAGTTCCCAAGAGTGCAGGACAAAATAAATGCATATTTAGGGATGACGTCTTGGCCCCACTGAAACGTGGTTTCCATCTCCCTGCACAGCTCCCCAAGGGACGGCACCAAGCAAGGGTTAAAGCATTTGAGGTAACACGCTTGTGTGCCGCGTTCCCCCAGATTATACACCACTGAGGAGGGATTTGTCTTTATAGGACATAAAAATGGTAGAAAATGGGCTTTTAAAAATAAAATTGGGCTGGGCATGATGGCACACACCTATAATCCCAGCACTTGGGAGGCTGAGACAGGAGGATGGTTGCAAGTTCAAGACCAGCCTGGGCTACAAAGTGAGCTCAAGGCCAGCCTGAACTGCACAGCGAGACCCTGTCTCAAAAAGACAAAAAAAAAAAAAAAAAAAAATTGGATTATAATGAGGGCATAGTCTTAAAGGAACTCCAAAGGGGTTAAACTCAATAAATGAACCCCTCTTACTGTTCTCCTCCGAAGGTCCTGCTGACCATCAGTGAGTTTTTGTCTGGCCCCCTAACCCCATCCACTCTCCCTTTTCACCAGCTCCCTCCCTCCCCTTTTTCTAGCAATTCCTAAAAATCCAAGGAAAAGAAATGGTTCTCAGCACTGAAAAGGCCCAGGACAGCCCTGTGCATAAAGAGGCCGACCATGCAGGCAGGACCCACCCCACAGAGAGCAGACCCCGGCCCGTTACTCCCTAACCCCCTCCTCTTTCCCACCAGCATCCCCACGTGAGCAAATCAGCCCAAAGACCTGCTTTACTTTCCAGAGTACACAGTGAAGAGAACGTGACCCCCAATGAAGTTTAAGACCCACAGATCCTAGGTTTACCAGTGCGAGGGTTTGTGTCAGAAAAGCTTCGTGAAGCTAGGTGGGATGTGGGGGCTCCCTGGGGTTCAGTACAGCACCCTGCTGTTCCTCCCTAAATCAACGAAGCATAAATTAAGTGCTTGCCCACAGGGCAGTACCCACTCAGTGACACTGGTGCAACAGCCATTATTCAAAAATGAGGATCTGATGCTCAAAAATAGTGAGGTTCAGTGCCACACAGTGAGTGAACCCTAAAGTCTAAACTCAGACCCTGGCTTCAGACTCCGGCGCTCGAGCTTTCTCCACTGGGGCCTTAAGCCACAAAACATGTACGTTAAAAGCACTGACACATACCACACCTGTGCTGGGCACAGTGCAAAACTGTGTCTCTGCAAAGCTTTAGACACATTTCAGCAAGGAACAGCTTTAGGGCTGTTCTCTCTGTCTCTCTGTCTCTCTGTCTCTCTGTCTCTGTCTCTCTCTCTCTCTCTCTGCCACATCAGATACAAGTGAAAAAGGACTGTCCGTCTCCAGAACTCATAATTGAAAGAAACAGATTGGTGGACCCAGATAACTGATTGAGTGACCATCTGTACAGCCCAACCCATTGCATTTGGGGCACAGATGAGATCCCCTTAATTCTTCAGATGTTTCTCAGTATTGTCCCCTCCCATGCTCCTGCCAGGTGACAGAAATAAATAGCAATATTGCATCTACATCACCTGTCTGAACGGTGAGCGTGGGCTGCACAGTGATTATTATCTGCTGCCCGTGGCAGTCTCTGTGCAGACATCTTAGGAGCACTCTGAATGTGGCCTCTCCCCTGGTAGCCACCGTAGTGGCCTGCGAAGCCCCACAGGGACCCTGTGGAGACCCCACAGTCTGCCCACTGAGTGAACGGAGCCTTGTGTTCCCAACACTCAGCATCCAGCTTGAACCTGAGCCTGGCCTGGAATTGCTCAAGTGCTGGCCCTTCCAGCGAGCCGGTTTCCCCGTCCCTGAGCTCACAGTGAGGCAGGAACCCCCTCCCCATCTAAGAGACTGGTTTCAGGAACCAAAGATCCCCAAGACTGACGTGCTCTCTGTGTCTTGTAAGCCAGGACCTACTTAGTCACTGGTGCCTGAGGGAGAGACATACCTGTGTGTGGATTCCAGAAGAATCGGATTCCCAGTGGGTGATAAACATCACAACTTTCCAAACTGGGCCTGCCAGGGCATTGTCTCCCCCTCTGCAGATGTGAGAACAAGACAAAAGGTAGCCTCGTGCAGAAGAACGGTGGGGAGCCTCAGACCCCCAGATCTGTCCGCTAAGATAGTTCACGCCCCCACCCCCTGCTACCATCGTACCAAGGATGCCAGCCGCCATTCCAAGTCCAGCTCTGCCCAGGGGCATGCGTCCTCAGTGTGTTCGCGGTAGAGGCTCACGGGAGCTGGCCCGGAGGGAAGGGGTTAACACAGTCCCGCCGACCTGAGCCCCGATGGCATCTGCAGGTTCATCTCATTGGAGGACTTTAACCACAGGTGACACGGTCATCCATGGGACAGTCCTGCAGAGAGCAACAGAGGTCTAAGCTGCCCCACTATGAACACACTAAATAAGGCCAAGACAAGCTGAGGACAAGGATGAGTGAATCAGAGGAGCTGAGGAGGAGAAGCACCTTCGGCATCTCTCAGGCCCATCCTGCTATGGAAGGTTCTAGAACTTTGTCCCCCTCCGCTGTCTTTTTACCACTCCTGGAGCTCCTAGGGGATCTCGAGGACAAACCCTCCATGCTCTTCACTTGTGCTCCATCCTTACTCAAGGCCCGTAACGCCACCTCTAGACCCCAGTGCCTGTCACCAGCAGCCGTAGTCTCCCACCAGTGTCAGAAACAACTTCCTCTTTATCCACAGCACCATTTGTCACGGATCAGAGAACACGTGACGCCCACACGCTAGGCCTGGTCCGCCCTTTACAGCCATCCCCTGCCCTGAATAAACCCGGCTTCTGCTCTAAGTGAACCCTAACCCGGAAGTTTCTGTGGTTTCCCTTATAATCTACTATGTCCCATGTTCACTGGCAAAGGGTTTCTATTGTGTCCTCTAATCACCATGGCAACCGCACACAATGATTATGTAAGCCTCCCCTCCTGTTTCCTGGGACCAGATCAAGAGGACTCAACTTCAACCCCCTAATGCCATCCCCTCCTCACCTGTAAGATCTCAAGCCTTCCTGAGCGTTCTCTCTTCCAAAAGCACCACCTCTCCTGGGCGCAAGTCTCTCCCTCCTCCAGTTTCCAGGCTTCTGCACCCTTGAGCCCCACTCAGGGAACCAGCTTGCTGCATAGGGGTGACAGGAAGGGCACTGGCTAAGCGCTTCTGCCTCCAGAGCTACCTTCCTGCTGCTGCGTCCCCTCCCACATGCTATCAGTGGCCACCGTGGCCGTCACAGTCACTGCCATGCCGCAGAGTTGGCCTTCAAGAAATGATCGAGGGGGCCAGGATTCTGAGGGTTGCAGGTGACAGACACTCAAGGCAAGTGCAAAAGCACGCGAGTATTTGGTCACATAACCGAAGAAATTCGAAGTAGCGGGGATTCGGGACCTCGGGGTCTCTCTCCCTCCCCTTATGTCTTCTGCTCACCTTTGCGCTAGCTGTGTCCCCAGACTCCTTCATGGATGAACTGGCCACGGGACCCTCGGCTCCGAATCGACAGCCGTGCCTAACAGGAGGAGGAGGAACACAGACACTTGGTCACCTCGGGGACTGGTTCCAAGACCCTGCACGGATACTAAGATCTCCTGTTCTCCCATGAATATGTGAGTGAGGAAAGGAACATAAAACCTTTTCTAACAGAAAGAACCATAAGGCCATAGGTGTTTAGAGAAGGAAGAGATGTGATGTTATCTTGTTCAACGGAAACAGCTTTCATGCTAGATGACCAACTCAGGGCCTTCCTATAAATGCTCTAGTATTTGTATGTACTTATGCTTCT